TCCCCTGTGCTTCCGGCCTTGAACAGGGACAGACGACGCTTTGACTTCAAGCACTGCAGAATGCCGCCTCAGTCATCCCTCGTCCCAGCAGCCCCTCCAACTGCTGAGGACGATCAATTTGCCGCCAGTATTTGGAGAAAACGATTCGAGAAAAGATCTCTTTCACAGTAAGACTTCTTTTACTTTGATTTCTTTTTTTCATTTTTCATTTTCTTTCTTTCTATCTTTCCCGTCCGTTGTAAATCACATCGCTGGTCCCCTGGTTTTTCCCCCCTCATTCCCCCTCCCTCCTATCTTCCCTTTTTCCCCTTTGAAATATAGAATTCAATGATCGGCACACACATACCTCCTCACCCGTTGTTTTTAACGGCAAAGCTCAGTTGATTGGATCGCGTACATCCACCGTCGATCTTTACCCATAGACCATTTATATGGCTAATACCGACACAGACACCCGGTAATTGGGATACTCGATGTGGAGTACAACGAATTGGCCCAGTCCTGGAAGAGATTTCAAGAAAATCTTCCCTTTGCAGATCACGTCGAATTTCAGGAACGGCCACAAACGTCTCAGGATGTCCGAGCAGTGGTACGCGACGTGCAGACTCGGTGGCTGTCTCACCCGAGGCAGCAGGTATTTAGCCGTTCAATGACACTCTGCGACACTTTTATGGAGACCATAGATCCCCACGCAGTATTGTTGATGACTCTTCCCAAGAACGAGTCCTATCGATCCCTCTTCTATGGTGTCCTGCAGTCAATCATAAAGGTGAGCTTTTGCGACGTGCCTTGGAGCGCAAACCGCATACTAAACACGCTTGGCAGGCGTCGGCAAATTATCCTAGAATTATGGAAGGCGTCATCCGGGCACTGGTCAAAGTTAATCAATCGATCTGCCTTCCCCCCGGGAGTGATGGGCTAGCTTTCACCACGGATTCAATCACCTCCATTGCGAAGTTTTATTCTTTGACGTTCTTCTTCCTCGGGGAGTTAATGGACTGGTATGTAAGAAGGTCCAAGTGTCGTCTTCTACACTGTTTGCACCAAGATGTATACTTGAACTTTCGGTACCTCATTTGGAGCATTCGAAGTAGCGCGATACACATCATCGGGGGACTGATCGATGGCATGGACATGGATGACCCGAAGTATGAAAAGAAGCGGAAGATCATGCAGAGTAGCGACCTCTACCTCTGGGAGGAGACGAGATTGAGCCAAGTCGGTCTGCAAAAATGGGACCGTCGGATTATCGCTCAGACCGCCATGACCCGTCAGTTAATATGGGAAATTCAGCACGATGCGGCGGAGAGACTCCAGCTAAGGGCCGAAAGTCACCTGCTTCTCCTGCAGATGCTCGACTTAACCAGCCAGCGACTTCGCTCGGTCACCCAGCAAAACAGCGGTATCGCCTGCTTAACGACAACGGTCGCACAGGACATAGGTATGCAGGGTGGTGACCTCGGGACAGACCTGCCGTCGGAACTGACATTGATAACGTCGCAAGAAACTTCCAGATTCAAATGGTCCTCAGGGCCTAAACACAAATATACTCGGGTAGAGCTGCAGCTCGCCTCGAAGCACCTTCAGGACTTTTTCCGGAACGACGACCAAGTGACTGATCTTGATTCTGATGTCGATGTGATCGCTGAGGACAGTGTGGTAGAATCCCTGCAGCAATGGGCCACCAATATTCATTCCCAAGTCCTCGCCATCGGTGGCTCCCCATCGACAGCGTTTCCCAGCCCGGTCGCCCTCGTCTCTGCCTGTTACGCCACCTTCGCTCGGAAGGCGAAATTACCTGTCATCTCTCATTTTTGCTCCCTCCCCACCGAAGAACGAAGTGGGATGACCTTGTTCGAACAAGGTCTCATATCGCTCGCATATAGTCTCATTCGACAATTAATTGATTACCTGCCTCCGGTGTTAGAAGGCCACGCCGCCTGCAATCTAAATACGGAACGCTTCAGCCCGTTGAATGGCACGATGACTAGTTGGAAAGAGGTGCTCTCGCTAATTGACATGCTTTTATACCTGGCCCCACCCGTTCTCGTCTGCATCATTGACGGCCTCGATGTTCTCGAAGACACCTCGACAGATGGACCGATTCGGTCCCTAGTTCGAACGCTTTTGACCCATACGAGACATCAGACGCCCCCGGCGGCGGACGGGAGCCAAAATCAGGATGTACTGCTGAAGGTTCTCTTTACCGTCGCTGGACGACCGAACACACTAGTGGAGACCCTCTCGGAGAACCGTCTGATCCTCAGTGAGTCAAATCAAGTCAGTCAATTGGCCCCGACCGATGGGGCACTGAATCCTGATGTCGGGATTGTCATGATGAATGCATGAAGCAAAAATTGTCGAAATACAAGCGAGTATCCTGGATTTTAATTTTCTCTTTTCTTTTCCTTTTTTTTTCTTTTCTTCTCTTCTGGTCCCTTCGTTCCATCTTGCAAGGTTGTTTGACTTTTTCGGGCGAAAATTCGGATCATTAATAGAATTTGCACGGGATGGGCTTCCTTTGAATATAACATTGCTTGGAAGAGATATAGCACAGTCTTCTTCATTGTTCATCTTTGTCACGGTGCTCGGCTTTCTCTTCTCCCCGGTCCTTTGTTTTACATTTGCTCCCCTTGTTTGTGCTGTTCTGCTTGACTTATGGTGGCATATTCTGCCGGACCTTTTGCTCTGGTTTGAAGGAAGTGCCTTTGGCCGGCTGTACCCTTTTTTACTCTGTCATTCTGTGGCTTGGTGGGGGTGTCATGGAGGGATTAATTGTACATGTGTATTAATACTTCTATGATGATGATGGGAATGCATGACGAAGTACATATTGTCGTTTCTAGCATTGCAGATTACGTAGATCAATAGTCGTTTTTCGAATGATATAAAGGAGCAATCTGAGTGACATGGTTCTTCTCTGCCCGACATTGAAGCTTTTGCCTAAGTTACAAACAGGGTGTTAGTCATCACCTCGGAGATCAGTTTCCGTCCCCTACATGCCTGAGGCTGCACAGGGGGAGCCTTGGGACCTTGTGCATTTCTCCAGATTCTTCATATTGGCAATGTCGATTTGATTGGTTCTCGTGGAGCACTAGTGGACGGAAGTTGTAGAGTTGAGGCAGTCAGAACCTCGTCCGATGAAGCTGCTCCCCACATCACCTCCCTCAGTATCTTGGGGTTCGGAAATTCAGGCTAGGAGAAACCAGGGACTTCGTTTTCGGAATTGTACTCCCATCCACCTGAATATATAAACCTCAGCGTGTCCATCGTGAACCGAAGCACCACACCCACCCAGTGACTTCAATTTCCCACGACGTATAGATCACCTCAAGCACAATGACAGTCCCAAACGGATCCCACAAAACCGTCCCCAGTCGACTATTCCATCCTGAAACTCCAGATCTGGAAGACTTCAAGAAAATCTGCTCCCAAACCACCAACAAATCTACCTACCCACTAGCAGCATCCGTAGACCAAAACATCCCCATCTACGATGCCCGAACCCTCGACCTCCACAACACCGACCTTACCACCACCCTCCAAGACGAATGGTACCACATCCTCAGCACAGGACCAGGCATCTTCGTCCTAAAAGGGATGTACAACCCAGCCCAATACGCCGACACCTTGGACACAACCAACAAAGCCTTCACGAGCATCATCACCCGCGAACGCGCATCCGCAACCACAAAAGGCGACCACTTCGCCGCCAGCGGCAAAAACGACCGCATCTGGAACTCCTTCAGCAAACACGCCCTCGAAGACCCGACCTCTTTCATCAACTACTACTCCAATCCCTGGCTCCGCCTCGTCAGCGAGACCTGGCTCGGCCCCGCCTACCGCGTCACCGCGCAAGTCAACATCGTCAAACCCGGCGGCGCGGCTCAGGACAGTCACCGCGATTACCACCTCGGCTTCCAGGACTTGCACACCTGCGCTGCTTACCCCAGGAGCATCCAGCTCGCGAGCCAGCATCTTACTCTCCAGGGTGCGGTCGCGCATAGCGACATGCCCCTGCAGAGCGGACCCACCCGGTTCTTGCCGTTCAGCCAGACCTACGAGCCGGGGTATCTGGCCTGGCGCAGGGAGGACTTCCGGGCTTTCTTCCAGGACAGGTATGTAGCATTGCCGTTGGAGTTCGGGGACGGGCTCTTTTTTAACCCTGCTGTGTTCCACGCCGCGGGAGCGAATGAGACCGAGCCCGGTCCGGATGGTGGGTTTCATCGGAAGGCGAACTTGCTGCAGATTAGTAGTGGGTTGGGGAAGGCGATGGAGAGTATTGACTCCGTGCCGATTGTCGAGAAGTGTTGGGGTCCGCTGGTGAAGAGGGTTCAGAGTGCTGGTGGGCAGTTGGATGGTGAGTTGGAGAATTTTGTGCGTGCTGTTGCGGATGGGTATCCGTTTCCGACGAATTTGGATAAAAGGCCGCCGGCGCCGAATGGGATGGCGCCTGAGAGTGAGCAGGAGATTATTATTAGGGGGTTGAAGGAGGGGTGGGGGACTGAGCGGGCTGTAGAGGAGTTGAGGAGGATGAAGGCGGATTCTTGTGCTTGATGTTTATTTAGTATTCGTTGAGGTGGTGACATGATATATGGTATATAGGATGTTATGATACTATTTTACTTTAGCGGTAGTCAATATGATATGATATCTTTTGAGTATAGAATTTCACGGACAATATTTCCGTCTTCTAAGTGATCCTGGCATAGTTTGCAATGCCGAGGGAGTACGTGAACGATTTAAGCATGCTATATCAATATGTACTGTATTCACATCCGAATGAATACATATCCACCCTCACATCTATAGAGCTGCATCCAATAGTAACACAGCCACAAACCAAGGAGTAAGATCACCTCATGACTCACCAGTCCCACAAAATACGAACTGATCAACAACAACAAACCTATGACTCTAAGCATTATACGAACACTACACTACTCCATCAGCATATAAAACCACACACTATAAAACCCTAATCCAACGAGCCTCAAAACCTGAAATCTATAAACCCAGCACATCCAAACAAACACCGCTCCCTAAAACTACAATTACGACACTTACAACACCACGACAAACATCACCTACATACACTACACCCCCAAAATGCCACGCAAAAACTCTCAACGAACCTCACAGCAACAACAAAACCAACTCCAAGACCCCCTCAAAAGAAACCCCCACATACGCACAACCCCAACCCACATATTCTTCCACTCCGGTCCCCTCTCCAACTGGCACCCCAGCACACCCCCCTTCCCAGGCCACAGAGCCCTAACCCTCTGTCTCCCGGACCTCGACGCCCTGGGAATCCCACACCCATCCCAAAATGCCGCAGTAACACGCCTAATCAGCTCATGGTCATTTACTTGCGGCGAGCAATGGATGATGGCGATGAAGGGGTGGTTATTTGAGGATATCCCGGGGTTGGATTCGAATGTTGATATTTCAGACGAGGAGTTTGAGGCTGTTAGGGCTGTGGCTTTGAGTGTCTCTGAGCCATCGCCGGAGGCCCCGTGGAAAGAGAAGGCGATATGGGAGTCGACGGTTGCGAGTGTGATGAGGACGAGACAGCCGAGGGTGCAGAAAGCGTTGGGGCGTAGGGCTGAGGGGTTTCAGGAGGATGTTTGGGAGTTTGCGAGTGAGGTTATTGTGGCTGCTGGGTGTGTGGCGAGGGCGGAGGTGGATGGGACGTTGAGGGAGGTGTATCTTGCGAGTGGTGGGAGGAGGTTTGTGGAGGGGAGTGTTAGGGATCGGGTTTGGGGGGTTGGGTTGCGGTGGGATTCAGTCGAGATTGAGGATGAGGGCAATTGGAAGGGTAAGAATCGGTTGGGGAGGTGTCATGATGAGGCGGCGAGGATTGTGAGATTGGGTGAGTAGGACGTTTTGTTTATGAAGGGTTGTCTGAGCTTTACTAGTTGGGCATGAGATAGTGAGATATCAATCAAGCTTCAAGAAAACTTGTTAGAGCTCAACTATGGAACATCTAGCTATACAGCGGCCTCGTCGGTAAGATGGAGAAATTCCAGAAATTTGTTCTTTCCTCCCTTATGGATACGTCTAACGCGTAATGTCTGGGAATGGTCTCTGTGTGTTCCCTTGCTGATACACACACAATGATATTATCGGCATAGACTTGTCGTCCCATAGGCTGGAGATCTTGTACCCCAGGCACTTCAGAGCTCGACAGAAAATCGTTGAACATCTTAAGAAATTCCATCGTTCCTCCCATAAGGCGGATAGCGTTAAAACCTAGACCGAAGTCTGGTGAATATCCCACCCCAATCACGACATGTAAAGGCATGTTCAATTCTTTCCAAACGAGGAAAGCCAGCATGTTACCAATCCCCTTAGTACTGTTCAGGCTTGAGAAACTAAACACATTTCCTGTGGGTGGCGATGTCAAGTCTAACCGTATCTTCTCTATATCTTTCTCCACTGTGGGAGACGCTATCCGTTTCAGACGGTATCGGGACTTAATTTGGATGCTTGTCATATGAAAGATGACATGACCTAATGGCTTTCGCGTATCCGCTTCAACAGTATTTGTTTGGGGCACATATATTGTTTGCATACGGCTAGAAACTGACTCCCTCAGTAAGACCCCAATATTTCTCCTGGCGTACCTATTATCGAACTCTGAGAGTTGGATAAGACGTATAGCCAAGAACCTATACCCATCTTTGCCTTTGATGTCTTGTGAAACGCCGCAATGGAGAAGTGCTATCAAGTCACGCCCCGTCCACTGCTGTGTGGGATTATGAAGGGCTAAGTCAATACGCAAGCCCCTGTTCGTCATTGCATATGGCGGGGTAGGCTCCCATTGCTGGTACGCTATGACGTCCTGGCTATCCACAAAGTGTGCCGGAGATGATGCGAGTAGACCATGTAGGTCGTCTGGAGACGCACTTTTGTCGGTCCAAGCAAAGATGGTGTGATCGTCTGAGTGTTTCATGATCTCTTCCTGCAGGCGAAGAAAAGCTTTCTCTCCTCCCTCGCCGTAGAGCATAGGCATGTTCACCGTAAATATTCCCATCAGGCAGTAGGCCATGTCCTCTGGCCGGGTAGTTTGACGCCGAGCAGCCCATGACATGCGTTGCGCTATGCTCTTTTCAAAAACCGGTAACTCACGACTTAGAACGGCCTCGTCGATACGTGTGATATTCATCAGCCTGTAAGCTAAGCTGCTTCGCTCTCCAAAGCGGACCCAATCTCGTGAGAAGAACATGACCTCCGAGGGAGCCAGTAGCTCCTGTAGGGTCCATCCACGAGTGAACCATCTGCTTTGTTCAAACTCAGTCAAATCCAAATCTACTTTAGTATGAACTATGACATCGGACAGATACGCGTAGCAGACTGCAGCGTTTGCATACCATGTGAACATGGAATTAATCGCTTCGGTTAGCTCCGCACTGCTGCTCTTGTCGATACAGCAGGTATCAATCCAGATGTAGCCAAACCCATCCGCTCGCGCTTGCGCACATGCGCCTTGAACCTTTGACCATGCGGATTTTGTTCGTCCCGTGTGATGCTGCATATCTGTGAAAAGAACCTCCTCCTCTTCCCAGGTGTGGGACAAAATTGCATAGTCGGGGATGCGGTCTGGTGGAAACTCTACCAATTCAATGGTATAGGTGCTCAGTAGATGCATCTTGCTATATGGCTATATTGATACGATGTGTAGCAAGAAAAATAACCAAGAGAAAGAATTGTGTGAGATGTGGATTTATCTGCAGGGCGGAAGATGGGTGCTGTTAAGTCATGGTGGGGTTATAAGAGCTCAACAGGGCTGGGCTCAACTGACGTGGCTTCGCATTAGTGCTTTGACGCTCCTAGTTAATATAAAGCACTGGGTAATGCTTCCTGACGTGGGGTGTGCACTAGGTCTGCAACCAAGAACTGTCCTGTATTCACTAACATAGATGTACATATCAGGACCTTTTCCGTGCTTCATGTTTTTCTGAAGAGAGAATTACAATCGCGCCGGTTGGTCCCCAACGTCAGCATGTTCTCCACATTCTGCCATCTATTCCCGGGGATTTATGGCCTGGGTATGTTGACTAGTCAGGGGCATATGGCATCTTAGAACGTTGTTGAGAAAGCCACTTCATATCTTATCAATGACTTTGAAGCACACTCAAGCTCTGTACCCCACTGTATAAGGTAAGGACTTTGTGTTGGGTAAGCACGGACTGACGAAAGCTGCCTTTGAGCTTTTGGAGTTCCATACAGGTCTGTACGAGTCTTTTCTTTGCCTTTGGACTCTGTGTTGAACCTGAGATACAAATACGGCACAGGCCTGTGGTATTAGAATTCTTATCCCGCGAGACACCATTTCTTATCATGCTCTCACGAACTTCACACTGTCTCACCATGGCAAACTCCCATCTTCCAACATGGTTACGTATAGACTGGGGAAGCATCTCATATCCTTGGAGTTACCTGACACCACGAAAACAGAGATCGACTTTACCGATACCTCATTCTTCACTAGCAGCCCAAACCGCCACCTCCCAACACCCGCCCAGGTCAGAGCTTTGTCCAAAGATATTGATACATGTCCTCAGCCAACTCCTATCAAATTTGAAAACCTCAACCTTATTGTCAAATTCGGTCTTTATGTGAAAACTGCCGAGGCACTGAATCTCTGGATGATCAAAAAGGTTTTCCATAACAAGGTCCAGTGCCTGAGCTCTTTGGCTGGCGGGTCGATGGTGAAGGGTATGTGTTCATATATATGGAGCTGATCGAATAACCAACGCTTGAAGAGTGCCGGGATAGTCTAGGTACTATGGAGAAGGGCGCTATCTCCGACCAGCTATCACAGATTATGGAGTCTCTTCGGCGACTCGAGCAAGACCCCTCTGATCAGTTCATCGGTACGACCGAAATCATAAGCGGAACTTTTGAAATTCAGCTAACTTACCCCTGTCCAGGATCAATCCATCGACAGAGCCTTCTCGACTACGTATTCATCGGCCAGCTCATAACTGGACCATTTTCTAGCACCAAGGAGTTCAACGACTGGCTCGCTTCAATATACCGATCACGCTTTCCCAACAGATATGGTTATCGCAATCGATGTTCACTTCCGGATAATGGGGAGATCAAACTTACACATGCGGAGCTGAACCCGAGAAATATCATCGTATCCTCCTTCACTCCGGTTGAGATTGTTGTCATAAACTGGCGGCAAGCGGGTTGGTATCCGGACTACTGGGAATACTGCAAAGCGCTGGATACCTGCTGGGATGATAGGTGGCGCAAGGGTTATGTCGACAAGGTTTTACAGTCTCACGCGGATGCGTTCTTTGTTTGGTCTGAATATTGCATGGTACTGGGTACCAATTGACTCGACGTTTTGACGGCCCTATGAATTCGACATGGCAACATTCGCTAGGTGCACCATAAGGGCTGAATGGCAGTAAAGCAGTCCCCTCGTATCTCTTCCTGCAATAGCAGAATGAGATAGTCGTAACATACCAGCTCAGCTCACTGATATCCTCATGACGAACTATGTACAAAAGATAGGCTTATTGGTATGCTTGCTTCAATTAGCCTTTCATTACATATAACCCATTTTGCTCTGTATGCAGTCCTTAGCCCGACAATCTATCATATCCAAATCTGTATCCTAAGAGGCTGAAATACAGATCCCAGCAACCATCAAACCTCTCCTCAACCTCAATTCCCACACTGCGGGACCACTCGTCGTAAACCAATTCCATGAGTAGGAGGATCCCGCTTTGGCTGAACAATCTGAATCGCTTCAGCTCCAACATATTCTTTCTCAACCAGATGGCGCACATATTCCATAGTCCATTCCTGACACCTTCTATTCGTAATCTGGCATCAAATCTTCTCAAAGGTAAGCAGTACACAATCCCATCAATCAGTACCAAAAGACAAGTCAAAGGACATACATCATTAACAGGAGCTATAAAATCCTGACTAATCCCCGGAGCGGGCACCTGTGAAGCAGCAATCTCCAAGTCCCCCATAGGGTCAGTATCCACACCACCAACACCCACAGGCCAGTCAACAATATGTACAGAATCGACCCCGCCAATCGACCACATTTCATATGGTTCGATGCTTTTGGTTGGCTCACAGCCGCGTTTGTATTCGTCGGCGAATCCAACCATCGGTGCGCCGATGACGTTGATCAAACTGCCGCTTGTGGATTGTTGGGCTGAGGGAAACTAGATTGCGAAATGGGCACGTTGGCTTTTGGAAAACCTGATTGAGATGAGATAGATGGTTCGGGGTGCCATTTTTGGGTTGATTTGGGCTCAGTGTGCGCGTGGGTGCTATTGCAATGTGAGCTCAATGTGTGATCTGGGGTGGTTGATGTTGTTATAATAGGGGAGAAAAGGCAGATATCCTTACAGTTGAAGGTGCTGGGTTTGATGAGAGGTATTTGCGTATATACTGAATCATAATAATATGCACTTCGGCCGTTCCATAGATGAAGGTACACTATTCACCATTATAATATGTCAATAACCGCGCGGCTTTCTTAGGCATCAGCTTTTTATTCTGTATACAATGAGTAGTCCTTGTGTGCTTACTTCTTTAGGTCACCAGCAAGAAACCGAATAGAATATGAAAACTGCCAAGGGTTACAATTATAGTGACTATGATTCACCCCGGAGCCTTACTCCGTATGCAATATACAAAATCACAACATCACGACGTATTCTCAAGGCCCGAAATACATCAATGCTGCAACGAATCCAAGGTAAATAATATAATAGGTTAGGGCTGCTATGTAACTTAGACTCAGCTTAGCCTAGATAACTTGTATGATAAATCCTTGTTAGGGTTGTGTGGTTGTTCAATAAGTTAACCTCGCATTCGAAAAGCCACCAGTTATATATACTAGACAAATTGAACTCTATCTGTTCATGTATAAGGCTCATGATATAGATTATCACAGTATATGTTGGCGCAGGCGAATGCCGAATGGTAATCAATTCTGTAAGCAAGGTGAAAGTAGATGTGAACCATGGATTCAAGCCACTGGACGTCATAAACTCTTCATTATAGAGTCAACACCCCCCTCCCCGTGATTCAATTGGTTAAGCGGGGACCTGCTGCTTGAGAATAACTATAGCCCCAGGACGAGAATAATGAAATACTGCAGATCCTGCTCATTCCTTGGTTGATCAATGAAGTGAAGAAAGCATTCAAGACAGGTCTAAAGAATACATGATCAAGCAACAGGATGTCACTTATCGACAAAGCAAGGCGACACCTCCTTAGATTAGTCCGCTGTTCAGCTTTCTGTGCTGGCGGAGATAAACTTGATCATGAAGACCGCAGAATCAATGCTCATATTGTAAACCTACCAACTGAGCTCCTACTACTGATATTCCCGTTACTCCCATTCCCAAGCCAAGTTTGTTTCGCCCTAACCTGCAAACACATGTATCACCTCTTCGGCTCAGTGCTTGACGACGAGAGGCTTGACTTTCCCAGAGTCTTGTCCAACAAGAAGTTCGAGATATCTCCCGATGCACCGTATATCCTAAGAGCACAGGTACTCATCCTCCTCGAAGACCATTGCTGGGCATATTGCTCCGGATGCTGTAAACTCCATCCTCGCTCCGAGTTTAGATTTCGGTTGTCACAAGAGCCCAATATTCGAACGTGTAGGCACTATGCTGGGATTGTGTACCTGTGCGGCTGCATTTCCTTGACATTTCGCCATCGAAAGCGACTGGAACTATGGCTGGAAACAGGATTCATTGATGCTTCCAGGGACTTCTATGGGAACAGGAGAATATTCCAACGGTTACTTGACGAACGAGGCCGGCCGTATCTCTTTCACCAATGTTCTATTCCGGGTAAAGTCGACGCGTACATTCACCTCACAATGAGGCTTTTCGTGGATAAAGGCTTCTCTCTCATTGTTCAAACGAGGTATGAGGTTCGCCTACGCAATCCCTCACCGCTGCCCGATGGGCGAACTGAGCTCTGTATTCAACAGGACAGGGAGCCTGTGCATATTTGTTATAAATATTTACACGTGGGTTTAATCGAAATAATAGCCTATTGGGCAGTACAGAAATATTTAGTACTTGCGCCGAGTGTTGAAGAAGTTGCTCGTCTAGATCGAGGGCGATCTACTATTGTTCAAAGCACTCGCAATCTTGGAGCATGCTTTAGCCATCGTTCTGCGAGACGCTCGTTCTATCAGATCAACATCAAATGGTCTACCTTACATCGTTTGAATACCGGCTGCAACTAATTTGCCTCGGTTTTGCTCATTGCATATTATCCTCAAATCATGAAATTGGAACCTTTTTGCAGTTTGTCTACTTTACTTTGAGGAAGGGGTCATACGAGTCTGCATGTTTAATTTGTCAGAAACAACGGCCATGTTGCCACTGCCTCCTGTGCTTACAGTACACTTCTTGATGCACCAAGACTTGTTCGATCTTCAATACATCGAGAAAACGGAGGCTCGGCAGTCTAAGCCTTCAACCTTCATTAATGGCAATTTGTTATAACTAAAGTATATGAAGAACTCGTCCTAGCTTCACCGTGAAAAGGAAGAGGTAAGAAATGGTATAACATTATCATTCATTATAATACAACACACTACACTATAATACAAACCCCAAACCCTACCGCTTGCTCGTCTGCGTAAACTCCCTATCCACCCTGATTCCATTCAATGGAATCTCATCCCCACTTAATCTTCCACTTAGCCTTGGACCAAGAACATTCGTATACGTCTTCGCGTAATCCGGTCTGAAAGACGTATCCAATCGGCCCTGCTCACCCGCCGAGTCCGTCTCATCCGGTAAATGGTAGAACGAATGCCGCTTCGGACGCTCCGGGTGCTGGATTATAGTAGCGGTGCTGTCTTCCGTCCGGGAAGGTCCTGTCGCTGGATTCGAGGTTTTGGACATCTGTCCTGTTGTACTCTGGAAAAGGGCGGGTAGTCGGCCGTGGATGCCTAGTTTACGTGCTATATAACGGAGGGCAGGTCGGAGGGTTGGGAGACAGGCGGAGACGATGCCGGCGGACATTTCGATGGCGGTCCAGCCTACTGTTGGAGCGAGGGTGTAGGAGGAGTCCGTTGCGGAGTAGGTGAAGAGGACTGAGAAGCGGTATGCGGAGGCGAAGACCACGCTGTAGAGGTTAGACTTGCGTGGCTTTGTCACAAAAAAAAGACGGTGGTGAAGAGCTTACAAGAAGCCGAGACTGAAGGCTATTGATACAGCTATTTTCTCGGAAAGTCGGAGTTGGAGCTTCCAGACTTGGGGAATCGGGAGGAGCAGAATGACGATGTCGGTGGCGATTGTTGACACGGCATTTGCGATCCATGTGCCCACTTGGTTGATGCATCGGCCTGGGATTTGGGGATACCATAGTTTTTCGACCGGTACGCAGATGAAAATGAAGAGGAACGTGATACAGATGACCCAGAGGATGACGAAGGTGCCGATAATGTATGCCCATGTCTTGAAGTAGGGGAAGCGGAAGATGCGGTAGTACATGAGCAGAATGCTGAGTTTGGTCCAGACAAGGTTGAATACGTAGAGAATCTCGGCCACAACTAGGAATTTCGCGATCATGACGACGTTAGTCAGTGGGATAGTGCCGGCATGAAGACCCATTCCTTCCTTTATCATGGCGTAAATAAATCCAACAACAACTAGGTTCCATAACTAAGGACAGTCAATAATGATGAGATAGGGATCTCATACGGAGATGCCTGATACTCACCATGGAGAATATGATCATGTAGTCGTCCCACCATAGCTTTTGCTTCCTTTCATAACGTGCCAGCAATCGGAGGCAAACCGTCACGAACGCCAGCACCGTGACGGAGGCCGTGGTGGCTATCGACCATTGCTGAAGATTGTCCTGATCATCCTCCATGAGGTGCAAGCCAATGCCATGGAGCTAGATACCGCGCAACCGAGTCGCGGAAAGCCCAAAAGGCAATGCTCAGTCTAATATACGCGAATGAGCAAACCCCGGGAATCCCCCTTGCGTCGGACTTCGAATCCTTCATTCGCGGAAGCAAATCTTGTCCTCCGCAACGCAATGAAACACAAGGTGGATCCATGCATTTGTGGATCGACATTGACCCGGGAAGGGTTCTAGAAATCCAGCATTTGACATGGGAACAACAAACCAGGCATGAGATTGGTAGCTTTAGGGTTTGTCAGGTCACCGTTAGACTACACTAGGTTAGGCAGCTGCTCCGGGACTCCACTTGCGTCCTCAGGCCAGTGACTGAACTGTTGGCGGGTCCGGATAATCCACGTGGTTCTGCCTAAATACGAAAAGTTTCTTGACAAGGGAACTTCCACGACTGTCTCAAGACGTAAAAAGTACTACGTACACTCCCTCTTGACCAAGCAGTGGCGAACTCTTGACAGTCTACATAATTATTGAACCACACTACCTAACGGCTAGTCCTTCACTCTCCCAGGCATTTGTCTCGTATATAAACATTGTGTCAATCCAGTACCTATCTGCAAGGCTTACACAGGAACACTTCATTTATACTTAGTGACCATTTCCACGAGTGCCTCATTCACCTCCTTTGGATTTGTGGCGTTCAGATAGTGCGCACCGCCCTCAATCATGACCAGTTTAGCTTCTGGGGAAGCAGTGAACAATTTGATTTGCTCCGCAGGAACGACCGTTCCAAAGGGTGTATCCTCAGTGCCCTTATTTATGTGTTAACGCACAGATCGCCCACTAGAGCCGATTGAAGATAGATTTGGGTCTCACCTGTAGCCAATAAACGGGGCATCTAATGTCCCTCAGTCGGAGCAACAGTCCGTCTCGCTCCAGGAGGCAATTGAGTGCCATGCGCACCTTCTTTCGTCCCTCGTCACCCTTGTATACTTCTTTGAGGGTTTGGGTCCAGAACGCGGATTTCTCGGCGGTGGCTGCAGCCCCAAAGCCAATGCCTCCCACCAGACCACACCAAACATCATCTACCACAAAGTCAGGTGTGGCCGAAGGACTCGTCCACTTGTCATAGAAAGCTATCAGACTGGCTGCGGGGTCCCAGCACCCCTTGGACCGAGAGTCATCTGATTCGTAATCCATAGATGTTCCCAGGGGCATGAGACCGAGGATCTAGAAAAATGCGAGGTTAATCCTATTGGGCTTGGCAGGGACTAAATTCGGCTCTGCATTAGCTCAAACTTACCCTATCTGGTGCGAGGAGGGCCATCCGGGTCACCATCCATCCCCCTTGGCTTGTTCCCAGGGCGAACGCCTTCTGGATCCCAAAGTGATCCATGACCTGTAACGCCATGATGGCCGAATCCCAGTAGGTAAAATGTTCGGAGGGACAACTGGTTGCGCCATGACCCAATGGCTCGATGGCCAGGAGGTTCATCGCATCAGTCAGCTCCTTATTATTGAATTGGTCATTGTAGAGAGAGACAGTCATGCACATCGAGTTGATGAGAACGCATGTCGGCTTGGAGGGATCATAGTGGTCATTGGAGAGAGCATAGCCGGCCTTGATACCGCCGAGGTGGGGAACTTGGATAGTTTGTGTAGCCGCCATTCTGAGAATATTTAGATTGATAGTGTGGACTGAATTTCGACGGTGTGTGTTTCCAGCTCGTATTCCTAGGCGAAGCCGGACTCATATCATAAACCGAGGGAGATTAACATGCCACATTGCTTCGGCACATAACCCCTCCAGATTTTCCCACCTTAAAACGTAAAACCCAACAGAGTTCTCGTATTCGTCCACCTTTGGAGATTGATCCCCAATGGACTACCGTTGTGGACTGACGTTGACACGCCGGGTGTCGGCATTGGCTCCATTTCTGGTTCGATCAGCGCCGGCTCTGATCCGTAGACCGCACTAAGCTTATAATTAAAGGTAAAGCTGTCAACCGTGTCTGCTATTGCCGGACGTTCTCCGAGACATTCCCGGCGGCTCCACTATTCGGGAAAACGGGAGGTCGTAAATCCGTCTGCTGAAGATTCCCTTGCGTGGGAATCGTCTTGGGAAATAGTGATTTCATAATGCCAATCTGCCGGCTTTATCCGGGCCCACTTGTGATGTGTGTATTTTCTCCAAGGAGCGGTAGCAGATTTTTCAAAGTGAGGCGGATGGACTGGGTAGAGACGAAATCAACGAATGTGAAAGGCCAATCTTGCCCCTTTTTTTCCTTCTTATCTCGGATCACTAGGAGAGAGGTCCCTTGTATGTGCTGTGTGAAAACAACGGCGTGAACAGGGAGACTACTGTCCTAAACTAGAGATTCAAGAATTTAATATGCAGGGTCTCAGATCTCTATCGGTGCAGAAATTGAGTCATGCAAAGAGCTTGTTTAAAGCATCTCCTCCACTTAATAGCAGGGGTGTTAATATATTAAGATATATTATGCCAAAGCCGCCCCAGATCGGCCAGCCATGTGTTGGTTTTCGAGACCCATAATAACCAGGCTGTTAAGAAGTAGCCCTGGGCAGAATACCATAGCGTATATTAGATAGATTTTACACATATATAACCCCCCGCATCAATTTCACTGAGTAGGAACCAATAGCAGGCATTGAGTTATGTATAGCAATGAATGATATAAACAATGTGATTATCTCCATAGCCCCAAAGGTGGCGCACATATATTTCGTACGGCTCAAATATAGCCGTCTTCAGCAATAACAATATCACCATCCACTGCGAGGGTGCCACCCGAGTCCTTACAATTTGGCCAAAAGCCCTCGCTGTCCCGACAATACCAGTCGACAGTCACCCGTAGCGCATCGTCAAAGTTCGTCCGCTATCTCCATCCAAGCGCACGCGGTTTGGAATCGTCTGTTCAATACATACTATCATTGAACGGACGATCTGCAACAAACTCAATCCAGTTGTCTAAACCATGGGTCCCATCGAGATAGAAGCTTCGAAAGAACTTCTCCGCCCCCTCTCAGACTTGTAAGTGGTCATTAGAGGAGATATTGTACGCCTCACGATAATGAGTGGCATATGGAACGACTTTCGATATGCCTGGATGATCATCTCGGTCGCGGCCTTGCTCGCTGAGTATGGGTTTGTGGGGTGCAGACCTTGCTTCTCGGTGAAGGCAGAAAGATTTTGAGCATCGTGCTCGCCGTATACCTCATCAGTGGACACGTGGATAAATCGTCTGATCGAGCCGTGCTTCCGAGCAGCTTCTAGCAGTATCTGGGTGCCTATGACATTGGTTTATGTGAAAGAGGGTGAGTGATCTGTCGACATGGGACCTAGCAGCGAAATGGACAATAGAATCAATACGATAGTTGTGGAGCACATTTTCTACATCTTTTGGGGCGCAGACATCCCCTTTGACAAAATGAAAGTTCGAAGATTGGGCAACGGCCTTGAAGTTATTTTTTGGAGACGCAATAGTTGAGACTATCGAAGCAAGTCACAGAATATCGGTCGCTGTAAGTCTGCAACGGATGACGGACGAACCAGCTGCCACTGGACGGATGTCAATCAAGTTTCTGAAGCTACCAGTTCGACACCGAAGGTGCTTGCTGATCTCACATGAAACCGGCACCCCCGGTCACCAGGATACTCTTCTGCACCGGCACGCCGATGAGTTGCGTATGCTCCGAACAAACCATGCCATCTGTAAGTTTATCAGAATTAATTTGCATGTTGACATGCTGAAGATCAGATCAATCACATCCTTCGAATACCTAATACCTAGTCCACAGTGAACTCCACTCTTTATCTAACCACAGCACAGCTTACTTCACGGCATTGAGCTTCGTGCTTATGCGCATTATCACTGAACGTTATCTCAGATCTTGCGTTAGCTTGAGAGCTTAGACTCGCTCCATGCAATAGCACGTGGGTTGAAACAAGGCCGAGGTGCTTTCATACCCTAGATTGCGCAGTGGATGTTTACATCTGTATCACCCATTGTAGCTCGATATCTAGATCTTGCTGCTGTCTCACCTAAGGGAACAATGCCGACTCGAACACATATTCTAACATGTGTCGGTGCTTGTCACTCATTGGTGGCCGCGAGGCATAAGGATAATCTTGGTTCGAGACACTTATTTACTCCAAGCTAGGTTGTACACTAAGAAGAACCAACCGGTTTTTCTGTGGATCAAAGCTCGCATTATAGCACGTATGATTTGCTTAGTTTAAGTGGACCATCTTTCTCGCGTGTTTGTGTACGAGGACACGTACGACCACAAGCGCCCAACCGGAGGATATTGAATTAATAGAAAATGTAACTAATTACTCAGCGTTATATTTCACTGAATTTCTGTCTCCGTTAATGTAGCACAATGTCTGGTTTGAAAGGCATACCAGCCATGCCGGATACGAGAAACCCTAATTGCTGTCCACTGAGGCAGAATATGATTTGCTCACGATGCCGTCGGGGACTTGGCCCGTCAGCTTCGTCACAAGCTCATCATCTACATGCCTCCGAATGACATGAATATGCTCAAGAGCACGCACATTCTGCCACTTTATTCTGTTCTTGAACCATTGGATGTTGTCCCCCGCAGGCTCTCGTTGGCTCATATGTATCGCAAATGTTCTCTCGATAAAATCCGCAATCAGCCGACGGGACTCCGTAGTCGGATCACCCTCCGCATCTACAGGTATAGGCGTCTTCAGCCATACGACAAGGTGAACCATGCACGGCGACATGGCGTAGGGCCAGTCGTTGCGTAGAATGCGATAATCAGACTGGTCGGCGAAAGGAACTGCGTGGCGATAATGGCAACGGATCTCGGCATTATTGGCTTCATTTTCCCTGTGTAACCGTTTTTCGACAAGTTAGTTACAGAGCCGAATGTGTTCTGGATGTCTCGGGCAAAGAAGATGTAATTGCGGAGATCAGTCGAGCTGCGCTTCAGCTGGGACGTATCGCCACAGGCTGACTGTTTGTTAATGATGTCTAAGCCTCATACCACGAGTAGAAAGCCTTCCAACCAATTATCTCTTGAATATCCTCCCAAGTATGCGGGGCAAAGGCTTCCTCGGTGGTGGTAAAGACCTCCTTGTCTGCTTTGCTGAGCTCGAACGGTGCATTGCGCATCAGCTCCTCTGTATTGATGATCCTAGACATTTCAGAATGGCCGCAATAACAAAGTGAGCTGGTAGCTCCATGCCTCATGATCATCTCTCTCTCTATAGCCTTTGTCCAAGTTCTCTAGAGTTTAAGGCGTTCAGTGACAAAAATCCGCTCTCTACCCTGGGACATTAATGTGTAACCCTACGCGTATTGACGCACCGTAGTCCAGGGTCACATTGCGATCGGACCTTCAGAGCCATAACCATCAATGAATATGTATGGGAACCCCGGGTTCGGCCACATGGAACAAAAACCGGCTTACCACGGCGACAATCCACCTCATCGCGACCCTTCGTCCGGCGGCGGGGAAAGAGCAACTTGTCAGGCCCCCCAACGTCTCGTTTCTCCATTAGAGCTAATAAAGATGTTTATTTCTATTTCTAGCTTCGAGAGACTCTCCGTCAAACAGTCGACCGTGTTGCCGATATAGAAGAGGGATGTCTTACTTTTCTTCTCACCGAGACGCGTGGCGATGACGACGTAGTAGTATTCAAAGTCATTGAACGGTGAGCCAATTCCTCTGTATTCTGCAGCTAAGTCACTTCAACGGGAGCATTGCAGCTTATTTCTCGTATAGGTGGCTCAGCCCTTAACTTGTTCGGCATGTTGACGTGGGCTAGAATGAAATTGCCGAGTAGGAAAACTATCGGTAGCGTAAAACCATGCAATAGTCTTCTTTTCGACATTGTCCGGGCAATTTGATCCTTCTTCTGCGCTGTATTGTATAATCTTCTCCTCGTTATAGGCCTTCTTAATTCATGATGATCTCCCATACGGGATGGCGATCCTCGAGTGCCTTTGTTACGTTGGTTGTCTGTGTCGCTATTTTTACCGACATTTTCATCTATGGACTAATTGTCCCCGTGCTGCCCTTTGCCCTAAAGGTGCGAATGGGGATGCCAGAGAATGATATTCAATCCTGGGCCTCGACCTTTCTGGCTATCTATGGAGCCTCTATTTTTCTAGGGTCTTGTACGCTGCCAACAGCTCATCTTTGATATCCTAAGACAACTCTATCTAACATGAATCTCCCAATCCGCAGTACTCTTCGGCTGGATAGGCGGCCACTCAAAGACAAGGAAAGGCCCATTCCTCCTCGGTCTGATCGTCGTAGGCGGCGCCACTCTCCTAACCGCCCTCACAACATCCCTCCCTTTATTTCTTCTAGCCAGAGTGCTCCAGGGAATCTCCACCTCCAGCATCTTCACAATCGGCTACTGCCTCCTCCTCGACACAGTTGGGAGTAAGCATATCGGGAGCGCCATAGGCTTCACAAGCATGGGCCTAAGTCTAGGGCTCTTCGCCGGTCCCCTCATCGGCGGTTTCATCTACGATATAGCCGGTTACATGGCTGTTTTTGCTCCGGCTTTCGCTCTTGTACTCATCGAGATTATCCTCTGTGGACTCCTCAAGCCCCTACCACCCGGATATAAACAGAAACACCATCCATCGCCTGAACAGTCACCCCTATTACACCAGCCCCCAGAAGGACAAACACAATCTTCACCCCCAACCCTTCTCATCCTCCTCTGCTGTCCCCGCTTCCTAATCGCCATGATAGGCATGTGCATGCTAAACACCTTCATGACAGCCCTCGAGGCCGTCCTCCCAGTTTACCTCCAGGATCTCTTCAACTACACATCCAGCCAAATAGCCATCGTCTTTCTATCTTACTCCCTTCCGCTCATGCTTCTTTCTCCTCTTGCTGGTTACTGCGTGGACCGGATCGGTCCATACTGGCCAGCTATTTCAGGCTTCGCGCTCACTGCACCGAGTATGATGCTTCTGGGAATGATTCAGGAGAATACAACTCTGTATTCAGTGTTGTTACGGTTATTTTTATTTCTGTTTGGGTGTGGAGTGTCATTGGCCATGCCTGCTCTCATGACGGAAATTAGTATGGCGACTGAGGCGGTTGAAAAGCGTCATCCTGGGGTTTTCGGTGTCCGGGGTGCGTATTCGCAGGCGTATGGGTTGAGTAATGCTGCTTTTGCGGCTGGGACTCTTGCCGGGCCACTTTATGCGGGGTATATTCGTGAATGGGGTGGTTGGGTGGCTATGGCTGTTTCGATGGGAGTGCTGAGTCTTGCTACGGTGGTTTTGGTGGCTGTTTTTACGGGGAGACGGGGTGGACGTGGGAGGGAGGATGTTTGAGGATAACTTGTATTAGTGGTTGAATGAATTCGTCGAAGATTCATGAATTTGTCCAATAGTAATGCTACTTTTAGGATCTTTTAGGAGGTAGCGCTACAGGATACTCCAATGTCTCGATCTCCTCTGGGAATTGGAGGTCGTTCTCCCGACGCACTGTGTCCATAATCTCCATGACTGTCAGGCTCTCTAGCCAGGGCATCTCGGGACTCTCTGGAAGGCCTTCACAAATGCAGCGTGCGACTTCATCGGCTTCGAAGCAAAGTCCGTATGCACCGTCAGGTAGAAGGTCGGTCCTATCGCTGCTGATAACCCCCCGGCTGTTCATCCCGGGACTCCGGTTGATGGCCCGTAGTCGGGATGGGCACCAGGGCCAGCCGAAAATTTGTATTTCGCCTTGATCGCCTTGGATCCGTACCGCGGCGGTCTCGCCGACTGTGTTGGTTGTGGTACGTAGACTGACACTGGCTGTGGCTTGGATTTCCGGTCCGTCTGCTGTGCTGGGGGCAAATTTCATCAGGATGATGGTGGTTTCGTCGATACCTGATTTCGGGTTTTCGTCATAGCGGAGAGGACCTGATTTGGACGACTTTCTTTGGGTATGACTTGCAAAACCCAGTGGATTGAGTACACGCCAACTGAATAATATACCGTCAGTCATGCGTGTAGTAGATTGTTTTTCCGGGTGAACCTTTGAACTCACGGTCCAGCAGCGCTCCGCCAGCCAGTTCTTTTACTACCATGCGGTCGTCTGTCGCGAGATCCCTATATAGGTCCGCTCTCAGGCCATTATCTGTGAAGACATGGATGACGGTCCCTATGGCACCGGCTTGGAGAAGTCGACGTACCTCTACACTGACTGGGAGGAACCGTGTTCATAGTCCCTCCATGAGAAAGCATTGTTTCTGCTTCGCTATGGCGAAGAGCTTCTTGGCTTGTGCGGCTTTCACAGTCAGGCTTTTCTCACACAGGACATGCTTTCCCGCTTCGAGAGCTAGCATGGCATTCTGGAAGCGGTGGGAATGAGGTGTGGCGATATATATCACGTCGATGATAGGGCAGTTAATTAGATCGGACTGACTGCCGTATGCTTGACAGTAGGACGGAGCTTGAACTGTATTAATAAATTCTTGGGCGACATCTTCTGACCGAGAAGATGCTATCCCGGAAAGGAGGTGGCCGATATTAGCGTCTCTTCTTGTGGCCGGGTCGACGAGGAGGTCTTTGGCAAATTCTGTGCTTGTTAGAGGACTTTTATTATGGCTCGAGGGGGAAGACGTACTCTTGGCAATGCGTCCTGTGCCTGCGAGGTGTTAATCTTGTTCTTCCTGTACTGAACCATACCCATGATGCATTATAAGTACATACCCAAAACACTCAACGTATTTCGTCAGTAACCATTGTCATCAAGGGTGGTGATGAAATTGCCCGAGGGAGTTTCAATCTCATATCCGTAGGAAATTCGTATTTATATCTCCCGAGGGTCAGCACCGGGTTTCAACTCGAAGACGTTTAAAATGCGGTTACACCTGCCAGGTTGCGTCTGTGGCACTAAATATCCTCCGATGTGGCGTTTCCAGTTTGGTTCAAATACTCGATTCCTGCTTTCTGGACCGCGTATGAGTTTTAAATAGCGCGCCTAACTATGATCCCTTTTTCTGTCCCTCTGTCTGTCCCTCAGGATTGACCGAGGCAACACTTCCGAATATGGATAAACACACCAATACTATCCCTACAACTTGCACCACCATTATCGGCACCGAATTAGCCAATATTGAAGCTGTGCTCACTCGGAAGAGCCTGTCCGACAAGGGAACATACACCCGGCTTTGTGAACAATGGCTGGAACAGTTCTTGGAAGGCAATAGCGGACGAGCACTAGATGTCTCCTCCTACGCCTCCGCCCTGGAGATGGCCGCCATACTTGCCGATATCCAACCAGGCGACGAGGTAGTTGTCCCTAGCTATACGTACGTGACAACTGTCAACGCATTCGCGCTGAGGGGCCCCGTACCAGTGTTTGTAGATTTGGAAGACGCCACGATGAACATTGACGCGAGCAATCATTCCCGTTAATTACGGCGGAGTCTCATACGACATGGGCAAAATCATAGAGGTCGCTAAGAGACACGAGCTATTCATCTGCGGGGATACAGCCATGGCGTGTATGTCTACCTATAAGGGGCAGATGCTCGGCACTATTGGCAATGTCGGCTGCCTCAGCTTTCAGGAAAAGAAGAACAATACAGCCGGAGGTCAGGGAGGTGCCCTCCTAATCAATGACCCAGCGCTGGTCGAGCGAGCCGAGATCCTCTATGATCACGGGACTAACCGTTCGCACTTTATGCGCAGTGAAGTTGATCGCTACCAGTGGCTGGATCTGGGGTTGAATGCCACTCTTTCTGAACTGCAGGCAGCGTTTCTGTACGCGCACTTACAAGCCGCGGATTGCATCAATGCGCGCAGAAGGCATATCTGGGGCCATTACTTTGTCAGTTTGTTACCTTTAGTCCGCAAGGGGTACATTACTTTACCCCATGCTCCTGATAATACCACCCATAATGCGAACATGTTCTATATTAGGCTTATGGGCCCCACGCAGCGCCAGGATATGATTCGGCATATGGCAAGCGCCAAGGTTCAGGTACATCCACAAGTTTATGCCGCTACATTCGTCTCCTTTTGGTAGGAGTCACAGTCGCTTTCATGGAGATGACCGTGTTACGTCACTCGCAAGCTGGCAGATCTTGCTGCTCCCGGAGCATTTGGCGCTGTCTGATTGGGCGCAGGAGGTTGTGATCCGGGAAGTGTTTGCTTTTTGGGATGAGACAGCCGAGGGTGGTATTTAGTACTATACTCAGGTTAAACAACCGTGGTCCGTGGCCTTTTGGTCGAATAGGTTGTGTTCGTGGTTGTTCGAATGGCTACCTGCAACGGTTCACAATATTGCTATTCCGGGAGGTGCGATTTCAATGGCATGATCGTACTGAAGGTCAGAGACCAGGCCGCGAATAGGATATGAAGCAGATGTAGCGACTCGGACACCGTCCAACAAGCTATTGAATAGTGTCTTAAACAGTCTGTAATACTGTTCAATGAACCCAGGTGGTTCGATCAAATGTGTTTCAACAGCAGGTAGCGTTCTCCTAATGCCTGTAATAATTTCGAAGTTGCACTGGAAGTACTGTTTTGGCCTTTCAGTTTCACCGGAGTGTTTGTGCTGTATGTTTCACTGGTGGAAACTGGGCCTGTATGAAACAGGCAATACGCATTATAGGTACGGAGTAGGTAATAAGCAAAGCAAAACCTTGACAATCTGAAATTCATGAAATTCATGAAATTCTTGGCATTTTGACATTGTGATATTTTTAAAATTCAAATCCCAAACACTTGTCAGACAAGTCATTGCCCTTCTAATTGCCTTTTTCGTGGATATATTGTTTGGAGGGAGTAATTACATGGTCAATTTCACGAGGTATGTATACAATGAACAAGGTTGCATGATATTCTAATAGGTATCTGAAAATGTCAATATTGAAATTCATGAAATTCTTGGCATTTCGATGTCCTGCCTTCTGGTCTTTTATCCGGTGCTTATCAAAGTCGCTGTATGGATCTTGAGCTTCACCAACGTGAAATGTCAATTGATCGATAGTCCTTTAAATTATTAGTCTGTGTATTTATATGTCGGAGTCAACTCTCAGTCCGACTCCGATGCTTCGACCAACACAGTATGATACTCCGATGTGAAGATCGATATATATTTTAGCCCACCACCTTTCTTACCTGTGAAGGCATGCAACTAAGACCGTGGTAGGCTGAGTGCTGGTTTCGCTCGCTCTCTCGATTCCGGATGAGTTGGGTGATACCTCATTGTAATTCTATTCTCCAGTGAATGATCCCTTCTTCATACTCAACTACGGACCCGGCTTGATGAATCAGTATGACGCTTTGATCAACCCTCTCAGATGCCCCATCGTTTATGATCATAGGACTATGTATGCACAAGTAGAAGCTCACGCTTCAACGCAATAATGATGTTAGAGATCAATAATTCCGTATGTGAGACCCACTTCCCCCTCTCCAACATGGTCTTGTTGTGAGATGGCGAGTTCCCAGAGGACCAAACGCAAGGGCGAGGACGATCGTCGGGAAAGTCACGTTTTTTATGGGTTTCGAAGACTTGGTTATTTGACAGGGCCCATTGATTGGCGATTTTTCGGGTCACTAACGCTGAGCTTAACCAAGGGAGACTTATGGGCGTTTTACGTCAGTCAATGATCGGATCGATCGAGGAACACAGAAAAGCCCATTGTGATGTTGGTTTCTTAAACCAGTTACCAGTGCAGGAACCGAACTTGTCCATTGTGCTCGTCCATCGTTAAAAATGCCCCATCTGATGTCAACAACCTCTCATTGTCGATCACCAGAATTATAGTCTTACTATGAATTGACTAGAGGAAATATTCACGATTAGCATGGGTTACACCCTCGGCTAGAGCTTTTGCACCCGCATGGGTTTGCCACTTTTGTTTCAATTCCGCCACTTTGGGGATCCTCCTTGGGAAGAATATTAGCAATCGAATTGATTCATGTACACCATTGAACTTTTTTGCTCACAGACCATGAATGGATACGTGTCAGATTTTACCCAATTTAGGTATGGAAACGGAGAGACCGATCGACAGTATTGGGACCATGCATACAATGCTCTAGACCCAAGTCACGATGGAGCGATCTGACCAAGTGTATACGTATTCACGACTATCTCATTAAATACTAGCCAATACCAACGAACACTAAGAATACTAGTACTAAGAATACTCATAATAACTTCTGAGCCCTGGCCAGATTACGGTACTGTTGCCTTACTCATTTTGGTAGCCGGCGTTGAACTTCCAACCAATCAGATGACTGTCGGGTGATATTTTCTCATGGTGGGGAACAGCCGGAGACTTGGCAGGGTCACGGGCTGCAAAAGCACAGAAAAAAAAAAGATCGTCCAACAAATTGTCCACAAGGCTGATTGGGCGTTCATCACCTCGAATATCCACCATGTCTTCATCATATACTATGGAGGACTATGGAGGACTAGTCTCAAGTCACGATGGACAGGATCACTCCCCGCGAAGAACCATCCAGGACGGGAAAAATCATGTATGACCACGCGCTGGGAATGAAGTCAAGAATGGATTGACCGGAGAGAATTCCAGCCAGAATTCCCAGGCAACCCCTGTTCATGACAATGGAGGTTGAACGTTCAGACGGGAACCACTCGATTCTAATCGATGGTGAAACACGCCCGCCCCATGATGGTGCCTGGAATAGCCTGAGGTGGCTTTTTTTTTTTTTTTTTTTTCCTACTCTTGCCCTGAGTGATACCCGTGGTACGGAGCACACAGATCCTTTGCGGCTTGTTCCTTCACACTTCTTTCTTCCCTTTTCCTTCTCTTTCTCTTTCTCTTTCTCCCCCATTTGACATCCGAACCAGATTGACCGTCCTTCATTTGTCTTGTATCAGTGTCCTGATCTGTCCCTCACTCTCATTTGACGAGTTACGCTCTTTTTTTCAGATACGAATTGATCTGTTGATCTTTTCCTGCTTCACGTTTGGATGCTGGGTTTGACCCACCTCTCCCCCACAAGAACCAGTGGGAGTGGCATCTAGAATCTGTCTTGATGCTTGCCATTCGATAACCTAAATCGAAACTGTTCCTTGGAGTCGCTCGCTCGCAGTTACTAATTTTACCCCTCTTTGGGCTGCTGGACAGCTGTCGCTCTTTTTAGATATAACTGGCCGTCAATCCCACTCACTGTTCGTGCCGCGTCTGCAGCTCTAATGTCGACTCGGCCTGGTCTCGCTGAAAAGCGACTGTCGGCACATCGCTTCCAACAGATCCCTGATTATTCTGGCGACGGCATGGCCAACCCAAACGATGTCACCATTGAAATTCCTCTAAACCCCGTCCCTAGTCGGGGACAAACGGGCGCTCGCAAGACCAGTATCAACCCCACGAGCCCTGACCCCAATTTGTATGAACCGCCGGGAGAGGGAGGTGCCGAAGAAAAGGCCGCCCTGGTCACCGGTCCGGGACGTCGCAAACGAATTGATTCGGCGCGAGCGCGGTCATTGGACGATCCAGAAGATGGGACTCTGACGCGCATGGGACGCATCTACCAAGCCGTCTTCAACTTCTCCATCATCACCAGATACCTCATCTATGTGACTCCCCTGGCGCTTTTGATTGCAATTCCCATTATTGTGGGCGCCACCGTCCGTCAAGACACGAGGATTGGCGGCGTACCCTTGCATTGGTTTTTCACCTGGATTGAGGTCGTCTGGCTAAGCTTGTGGGTGTGCAAAATCTTCGCTCACTTCCTCCCCTATGTCTTCCAATTCCTGGTTGGTATCGTCAGCTCTGGCACCCGCAAGTATGCCTTGATTCTCCAGAGCCTGAAATTTCCCATCGCCACCGTGCTCTGGGCTGTGGTCTCCCTAGTCACTTTCTTACCGGTATGTTCCAAAATTCGATCCAGCAGCAGGCCACTTGCTAATCCGGCCGCATGTAGATCATGACGTTGAACCCTGTCAAGAAGGCGGAGAATGATACGGGAACTAAGTCTTGGGAGAGAACGATCAAGAACATTCTGTTTGCCTTATTCGTCTGCAGTTTGATCTTCCTCGCCGAGAAAGCTATCGTGCAGCTGATCTCGATCAGTTACCACCGAAAGCAATTCGATAAGAAGATCAAAGAATCCAAGCGCAACGTCACCCTCCTGGGCGAACTGTACGATGCCTCTCGGAGTATGTTCCCCATGTACTGTAAGGAGTTTCGCGAGGAAGATACCGCGATGACCGACATCATCGCTAGCAAAGTGAAGGGTATGCCGCGTTCGGGATCGGCGCCCTTGCGGCTAATTAGGGAAGTTGGGCAAAATGTTGGCCGGATCGGTGACAAGGTGACGGCAGCATTCGGTGATGTCGCTCAAGAACTCACAGGTAAAGAAGTGTTCAATGCCAACTCTGCTCGCTCCATTGTTACGCTCGCGTTGGAGCGCAAGAGGTCGTCAGAAGCCCTGGCGCGCCGAATCTGGATGTCGTTCGTTATTGAGGGGCGAGAAGCCTTGTATTTCGAAGATATTGCCGAGGTATTGGGTGCCGGTAAGGAAGTGGAGGCAGAGGAATGCTTCCAAATCTTGGACCGGGATGGCAATGGTGATATTAGTTTGGACGAGATGATCCTGACTGTCGCGGAGATTGGTCGCGGAAGGAAAGCATTGAACCACAGCATGCATGATGTGGACCAGGCGATTCACGTTTTGGACAATCTCTTAATGACGATTGCGTTCGGTATCAGTGTGTTGGTCTTTGTCTCATTCGTGACAAGCGGCTTTGGCACGGTTATCGCTGCGGGTGCGACTTCTCTACTATCTCTGAGTTTCGTCTTCGCCACCACCGCTCAAGAAGTCCTTGGTTCCTGTATCTTCTTGTTTGTGAAACATCCTTTCGACGTTGGCGATCGGGTGGAAATCTCCAGCCAGCCATACACGGTGGAACGTATCTCATTGCTTTTCACGGTCTTTACTAGCGTGACCGACCGTCGAACCACCCAGGTTCCCAACGTCGTGCTGAACACGCTTTGGATTGACAATTTCACCCGGTCCAATGCCATGCATGAGACATTGACAATTCCCATCAAATTTGACACGAACTTCTCCGATGTCGAAATGCTTCGGCAAGAAATGGAGCTCTTTGTCCGCGACAAGGAGAACAGCCGTGACTTCCAGCCGGACGTCAGCATTGATTTCGCTGGGGTGGGTGATATGGATAAGCTGGAGCTCGCTGTCA